TACTGATCTCTTCCTGTCATGCTTTATTTCTTGATAAGCAATGTCCCATCTACTAACAGGTGAGCACTTTTCACTTATTATCAATTATATACTACTGTAATTCTCTGTTTTCTCTGCTCTACCTTTATCTCTCAAAATAACAGAGAGAACAATTAGGCAATTTTATTATTTTTATTTCAATCAAAGGAAAAATATTAAATTAATTTATCCATTATCTAAATGCAAATTTTAAAAGATGCAGCCAGATTTCAAGTAGGACAACGTGGGAAAAGCTCTTGGAACTGCAGGCATGAACACTGGTTTCCTACTGCTTGTCAGGGGTTAAATGTCACGAACACAACAACAAAGAGGAAACAGTTCAAGTGGGTTCCCTTTCTGATGAAAATTAATAGAGCAAATTTTGGTTCCAAGAAAATAAAATTCCTATAATAATTTTATTTTTCTTTAATCTTGTAGACTTAAAGTCAATCAGACCTTTGATCTAGAATGTATGCATCTCTTTTTTTTTTTTTTTTTTGGCCATTTATCCCAACTAAGCTTTATTACTAATGAAAATTACAACTTTAAAAGGCATTGAAATATTTCTGTGGTGTGTTAACCCTCGAAGACCAAAGCGAGTCCTTGGTGAGGACATGAAAACATGTTTTTATTAAGGGATTCCAATCCAATAGAATAATTCAAAAACTTACACTTTTATAGCTGGTAGCATGAGTCATTTCTTAAATTTGTTATGAAATTATTCAGCTTTTTTAACCAGTGTCAGAAGTCACTCTTACAGTTTGGCAGTCAAAAACCTACCTTTATGCTTTTAGCAGACTGTCACTATTTGTCTCACAGCAGACAGTCCTTGCTGGACGTGTGAAATGTAGATTTCCCCTCATACACCTATCAGAAAAGAGAAAAGTTATTTGAAGTCTAAGGCCTTTGTATTCTCTTCCATGCATTTGTGTAGTAACAATATACTTTTGTTATGATCTACTGAAAATGCTCACATTTGGCTACTTTAGGATGGGTACACTAAAACATGATTAGGATTGGGAAGTCTGAATTGTATCAGAAAGTGCAAAAGCACTATATTTCTCCTTGCACAATAATTAGAGTTCTAACAAATCATAGCAGATCCCTATCCCTCCAGCCAACCACTTATTCAATGCAGAAATCCAGCCATGACTGCAAGGTGCATGCAGAATTAGTACACTAGCCAGCTAAATATATCTGTAATCCAAGTATGTAACACATCAGGCTTTTTCTCCCAGCTGAGTTCAACACCTGTGCCCTCAATGTTTCATTTGAAACTCAGCTCAAGAGTCTAACAGGCAGAGTCCAGATGTCTGCGCCGGTCAGTGAAATGTAAAAATGTAAATCTAAAGATTCTGTATGTTAGCTTTGCAGGTGACTTTGATAGGAAGCAATCCTGAGCAAATGTATTTTAATGTCATCAGTTTCTCTCCTGCTATTGCATGGAGATTTTCTTATTTTAATGCCATGTATAAGCTTCCAACATAGAAAAACTTCTCACAAATGAACAAAATCTTCCATCTGTAGTTATACTAAAGGTTATAGTTATAAACAAGGGCAGCAATACTAGGTACAGTTGCTGTCTCTCTTTTAAAGATGGTGATAAAAAGCAGGTAATTGACTTTAGGTAATCAATTATCCGAAAGAAAAAATTCTTCTAACCAAGACATAAATATACTCAGAAGCATTTCAGACTCTGAATTAAGCAGACAGGGAAGATTCATAAGTCTCATTAAGAGAAACATCACAGAAATAAGCACCAGACAGCCATAAAAGACAAACAGTTAAATTGTTTCTCCCAATGCAAAGTTCTGTATGCACCTATTGCTATTGTTTTATAACTGCCTGAGTTAATGGATAAATCAATTATCTAGTTGTTGGCACAGGAGCAGATCCTCACAAGTTCTACCTGCCTGCATTTGTTTGCTGAAGTGACACTAAACTCATTTGAATAAGCTGGTAGTCTCATCACAGCAAAACGTCAAGAAGACAAATCAGACTACTGCTCTTTGGGATGCAAATATACATTTAGTTTGGTATTTCTCTATTTAAGCATTGTTTTTTTCTCATTTTTGATGTACACTGACAGTGTCAATAATCAGTCTGGGTGTGTTAATCATCACCAAAACGCCACCAAGTTCGCTGCACTGTTCCTTCCTTCTGTGAATGTCAATGGAAAATGCTTAAAATCACCCTGACTAACATGTGCAACATGTACAGGCTAAAGATGCCTGCTAGGTTCACAGAGCAGTGCATAGTCCATCTTACCAGTTAAGCACCATAACTTGAGTGGAAAACAGGCAGTGAAACAGAAGGCATACAGATAAGTATCTCTAAAAACCATCTCTGAATTGCTGCTTTCCTTGAGGATGTCTCCCACTAGCCTGCATTTAATCCATGCAAATGGATTAAATCCCAGAAGCACATTTTAAAAAGCAAAACAGACTTAGAGGAATGTTTGAAATCCAGCACTCCTGAGAGACCCACCTGCCTTCTCAATAATACTGTACCTCCTGCAACATGCCAAGTTTTTTAACTGTGCCTCTAAATATTTCAATGTCTGGGATAAGGTTTTAGTTCCCTAACACAGGAGGACTTCTTGATACAGGTATTCCCATCTGTGCCATATTGTGTGTGTCAGCCTAATAATAAATTGAATTCAGAAAGGCTCTCTTCTGTTTCCAGACAGCATTTTTGTGATCTGAGTTTTTATACAGCTAACTGCTGATATAATGAGTCACAATCATCCTTTTTAAAATAGAAGGGAAAAAAACAAAGGGAAAGCTGGCAGTTAAATACGGGTTAATTTTACAAAACTTGCTGGTCCACAAGGCCACACAGGTGAGTAGCTGATGTGCTTTTTCTCCTTACCTAAGCACAAAACCTGAGCATGAAGGTCTCTCCCTAAACACTATTTCCAGAAATCAAACTCTAAACTGACAGCTGGACTGTCTAGTCCCTTAGCAGAGCCTGGAGACACAAACGAGGGACATTTCATCTGTGCTGTCTCTGGGGGTACAGCATCAAGCACCCCTACACTGCCCAGACAAAGGGTCTGCAAGGAGACAGAGGAGGTAAAAGCAGCCCCTGCATGAGGCTCTGCTGAGAAACAGCCACTCTAAGCCTCACCTTCTCTCCCTAACTACTCACTCTGGGTTTCCACAGCATACCAGACATTTACACGACTAGGAAAGTCGTCCCCAGCCCCAAGGTTTGCTGGAGATTTCAAGACACTTGTAAAAATTTTAATTTCAACAAGAAGCAAGTTCAAGTGCAAATCAAGATTGATACAGGTTTTATAGAAAATATTAACACAGCATTATTAATATGGCTTTAAAAACCTTACTAGCCCTTTAAAGAAAGGGAAAAGCTTTTAAAACATTCCGTTTGAAAGCAAGCATAAAAAGGAGAAGAAGTTTCTTTGCCAAACTGAGATCTTGTGGCTTTCTCTTCCTTTCATCTACTCCTTATTACCTTACCTGTTGTTCTGTTAGACATATCCTAGTCACACAGATGTGGCACTAATCACAGGGTAGGAGTTGCCAGCTGCCTGGGAGGATAAAGCTACTCTGACATTATCCCATCAGGCACCCAACAGCGACTTAGGAGATACAGCCATTTAGCTGACCCCTTTGTAAAGAAACAGGTGCCATCTGAGCATGCTGAGAAATCCTTTCTAATGCAGTCAGCTCCCCCTACACAATTCAAGGTTTAAACTGAAAAAAGAAATCAACTCCTATCATTTCACACTGATGTTAGACACTAAGTGCTGAGACTTCCAGTGAGAGTCTTGCTTGCTGAAGATAATTATGGCTTAGCACGTTATCCTACTAAAAATATTTCTGTGTTGAAAAATAAAGATTTCTGGGAGGCACCACTGCACATTATGTCCCAGACTTGATTTTACTCTAACATCTACACTTGAAGATACTTCTGCCACAAATCTGGCATAGGTAAAGAATCATTAACATTCTTCCTCTGAAAACCATCCAAATTTCCAGATTTTCAAGGAAGCCCGAAGGGTAAATCTTTAAAAGCTTTTCAAAATTTGAGATTGCTTTTGAGCCATGAGCATGACAGAGCACAACAAGCCATACCAAAGCCAGACACAAGAAACCTGTCTCCTAACCTTTGTGCTGCACCTGGCAAAAAAAAGTGACCTGCACTGTCATCCCTGGTGTGGATGCTGAGCGTGCCGTGGCAGGGAAAGGGACATGGTCAACTTGCTGGGAGCCATGGCTCCACAGCCGGGTGCCAGCCTCACTGCCCTGCTCACTGCTCCCCACACTTGACTAAGAGATTATATCTACCTCCTCTTCCACCCTTGCCACCCCACTCTCCTTCTCTCACTGTCCACCCCTTCCATTCCAAGCTGGATTGAAGTGTGACTGCGCCAGCTGCGTCTGCCAGAAAGTGCCAGGAGGACGCTGAATCTCCAGAATACTTCCAGAAACGAAGATTCCACATCATTCAAATGTGCCTGTGTGCTATGCTGAATGTTGCATCCATTAGCAAGAGTTGCAGCTTGAAATCATATCTCAGGACTTCTGCTTATGGTTTTCTGTGTCTCAGTTACTCACCACCCAGACCCCTGTACTGCCAGCAACACTGCATGCATGAGCAGGTCTCCCGAAGGCATGCAAGAAATTCAAAGAGTGAAGTCTAAACTTTCTCTTCTTCCTTTGATTCTCATTTCATGGGCTTGGCAGCACTACAAGCCTCCTTTACACCCTTAAATATTAACACAGCTATTCTTTTTATGTGGGATTCCTCATTATCATATGAATAAATGATTAATTGTCACTGTACCAAAGAAGTGCAACTTTTATAACTATATGAATCAGCACTGAGCCAAACCCTTCAAGAGCAGTAAGAGTGTTCCAGCATTTATTGCACTTTATTGCTTCCTGGATCATTTAAAAGAAGTCACTGAGAAATAACCGTTCACACAGGCTTGAAAGTTTATCACGGATGTAGTGAGCAGCTCTGTATTTCAAAATGCAGACAAACTTTCTTTCCCAGCAATTTAATGCTGGTTATTTGGCAGAAAACTCCACGGCTTGTCCAGCGAATGCTACTATTTGTGATGGCACATCTTGTGTATTACAAGAAGATAATTTCAATCATACTTTGAGCGTAGTTTTAAGTACTGTTCTAACAATCATGCTGGCTATGGTGATGTTCTCCATGGGCTGCAATGTGGAAATTAATAATTTCTTGGGTCACTTAAGAAGACCCTGGGGTATATTTGTGGGTTTCCTTTGCCAGTTTGGAATTATGCCTCTCACAGCCTTCTTGCTCTCTTTGGCCTTTAACATCCTTCCTATTCAAGCTGTCGTGGTGCTGATCATGGGATGCTGTCCAGGGGGCACAGCCTCGAATATCATTGCCTATTGGGTGGATGGAGACATGGACCTAAGGTAAGAGCAGTCGTTCTCTAAGTACTTAATGTGACTCTTTACATTGTAAATGTTACATTGGAAAGGACTGTCTGATCTGTTTGATGTTTTTCTTAGCTTCCTGGTACATGTATGGTGGTTTCTCCTTGTAAAGATGGTTAGTTACTATAATTGCAGTAAATATAAGCAGAATAGCAAATATCCTTGGTTCATTGGGAATTAATGAGGACGATATCACAACAGAATTGTGTACATTAGAAAATATCTTTATTGTAAAACTTCAGATCCTGGAGCAAATATAATCTAAGAAGACAATTAAGATAACATACATTGTGAAAACTTTGCCCAGGTTAAAATCACTTTTCTTTCTCCCAAGATCTTGAGTAGCAAAAGAATTTTAAAAACCACATAGGATTTTAGGACCAGAATCCTCTGTACTAAATAGTGGCTATGAAACTTTTCTTGAAGTAATTTTTCTTGAGAAAGAGATCCTGTGGAAAAATATTTTCCCTCCCTTTTGTGTTCTATACAATAAAAAAACAAGTATTTATTTTCCATTTGGGAACTAGTTCTAATGAATATCACTTGTGATAATTATTTCTGCTCCTGGAACTTTATGCAAGGTTTTCAGACTGAGGGAATATTTTACAGAAAGGCATCCCTGCATATTGGGGGCGATGAAAACCCTCCTTTGTGCAGTGTGATAGCCTCAATGATCAAGCGCTATTAACTCAGAAACAAATGTGTAAGGCACATGACATGGCCTAGGACATCAAACACAAAGGAGAAGTGAACCCTACTCTTGATGTAAATTCCATGGGGGGGTTCATTAACTCCAAGAGCCTTTAAAAATAAGCCATCCTTTTATTTTTATGTCCTGATTACTTTGGTCTAAAATAAACAGGACAATTTCTCTCTTTCCTACAGAGTAAAATAAATTGGAGCATTCATCCAATTTATCATATGCCAGTCTTAACTAGAAATGGAAAAATAGTAGAAGTAAGAAAGATGTGGAGCTAGGGTAAATAGTCTAATAATGTTAATACTTGTAGCTTTAATACAACACTTTTTCCATGCTTTGAAAATAGTGAACTTTTTTGTCACATACTAGTGTTAATGTAAAAACAGCTTTCAAATTATTAATGAGGTCAGCTCTGCTAATCATTGACTTCCTCATTGCAGAGGAAAGATCTATGATATCAAGAACTGTAAGACTCTTGATTTCAATTAATACAGGTCAAAGAAACCACAGGTGGAATGATATTAAGTACAAGGCTGAAATTTTGTTCTAATCTCTCCCTGGAAAAATAAACTGAGCTAAACTATGCTTGGTCAGCTCTGTATGTTTAATGTTGCACCGCTGAAATCAATGTTAAAAATCCAAATTTATAATGCTATAAACATGAACAGGATTTCTATCCCATTATACTGACAAAGGGTGAAGTAAATTGAAAATGCCTGTAAAAGGTTATATATTCTTCAGGTAAAGACCTCTACCTTAAGTCAAAGGCTTTTGGTCAGTACCTTTGTGACAAAGATGCAGGGACCACAGGATACAGGAGGTACAGCAGATTGTCAAGGCAAGCATCTTCTCTTCTCAATAGAAGAATAACATTAGAAGTTGTGTGGATGGTTTCTGAAACCACGACAGTATTTTAGAAACCTGCCCATCACATCAGACAATGCTTTTGTTTTAACTGTAATATTTTATGATTATACATTACAACCCGAGGTCATTGTCTATAGTTCTGCTTCAAAACCTCTCTGTGCAAATAGACCACAAGTTAGAGAAGGAATTAGGTTTATAATTAGCATTATAATCACAGTCAAGTGAAGTATGATGTTTCATATCTTTCTTAGTAAATCAAACCCAGCTGATATCCTCTAATGCTTCCCCATAGAGACATCTCTTAATATTTCAAAAAACAACTGCTTCTGTGGAAACAGGGATTTCGGTTAGAGGATGGCCAGACTTTGGAGGAGGTACATTCATGGACAGTACAAAGATACAGGAAATACAGAGATAGGAAACATGAGGGGTTTTATCTATTTGGGAATTCATCAAACTTTAATTGTAGCCTGTGACTCTTTTTCTCTGTAGGAGACTTCTGTAGAAACTCTTTTGCCAGAGTCTCCTGCAAAATCTTATTCAATTACTCTAAAGCAGAGAGTGACAGGAACCAAAATTAATGCAGATATTCCTGTGGTTTCTACATTAATTTTTCTAGACTTCTCTGGTTCTACTAAGTTTGTGGGCCAGGATCAGTAGTCCCTTTTCTGAGGACAAGCAACTAAAAAGAGAAATCAGAAGTGAGGCTCAGAAGAAAGTTTCCAAAATCTCTTAACTAGAACCCTCTCTCAGTATTTTTGTACCAGAAAAATGAGATTAGTACACATAATTTTATCCATTTTATTCCAATTCTGAGAGTTTCTTCCTTATTTTAGATGTCTTGCCTTTTCCTGTTTCTTCATTCCTGTAGCAGAATGCATCTTTCTGTACGACAGAAAACAGAAGCATCTTTGCTAAATGCAGCAACAATACTTACGTTAAGCCTCACTGAGAAATTCTTAGAACCTACTTTTTGGCCTAGAGCAAAACAAGCCAGAAAAGGGAGTTTTATTACATCACATATCCTAGACAATGAAGTGGATTTCTATGCTGCTGAGTTCGGAGTGAAATTTTAACACTCTAGAACTGCTAGTGTAATGGAAAGCTCCATTTGATGTTCATCTCTGCCCCTGTTCCCTACTTGCCATCCTCTCTGAAAGCAGCCAGACAGGCAGCATGGAGACACACTTGCCAACAGACCTTCCTGTTGGCCACCTGTCTGACTGCTCCTTGGTACCAAAGTTATGGTTCTGTGGCTGAAGAACACCTTGATATTTCATGTTCTTTTCTTTTCAGCAGAAGCCATTCCTTTCATTTAGCTTTTCTCTAACCTGATAAACAGGATAAATTGTCTGTAGCCAGCAACATTTCTTGCATAACCTTTGACGAGGTGTGAAATGGTAATAAGAAAATAAGAAAGACTATGGGCTAGCATGAGATGAACTGTCAGTGTAACCAATTTCTTTGCAGCATCAGCATGACAACTTGCTCCACGCTGCTTGCAATGGGAATGATGCCACTTTGTCTCCTTATTTACACCAAGATGTGGACTGATTCGAGTGCAATTGTACTCCCCTATGACAGCATCGGTGAGTCCAGTGAAACAGCACTTTCCCTTCTGTCCATCCTCCCTTCAGGGACAAGTATCTCTGTACCATTGTACTGTAGTCAGGAAGAAATTACTTCAGGTTTTTTTAAATATTCCTCTTTCTACTTTTTAATAACTTCCATGGGCATTAGGTACCAAAAATCACTTCACATCATTCACAGCTCTGCCAAAGAAAGACTTGAAGCCATTATAAATATAATATAGATAATTATGACAAGATTGTGCATCTTTTTCTTTCCAAAAAATGGTTTTGAGACCTACATGGTAGTGGGATAAGAATATAGAATAATTCATATAGGGATAGCTGCTTCTCCTGGATGAAAATGTTTGTAACAGCTTTAAGAAACAATCTTGCAAAGTGCTAAATGCTGAGGCCATAATCTGGCAAAATACTTAAGCACACGTGGATAATTAAGCAAGTGATTAAAACCGCTGAGTCTCTTTGAAAAGCTGCAATCTACACTGCCAGGAGTGGCTTCATTTGACTTCCTGTCAAAAATCTCATCCAGCTACAAAGAGAAAATAGTTAAAGTATTTAGAAATACATGCTCCAGTGCTTTGCAGAACTGTGGCCCTAGTACTTATCAAGTGCAGTTCCATGTTGTGCTAATCTTAAAAGCCAGCAGAATCACTTTCACATTCTTCAACTTCAATTCCCATTGTCCTTGGGGAAAAACAAAAATCGCATTCTTTCCTTGTGCTTTCAAATTGAATACTGGAGGGGGAAGGCCAAAACAAAAGAAGCTCTAAACTGGTTGCTGATACGGTACAGTAGCAAAACACCTGCAGACAAAATGAACATTTAATATAGCTACTCACATCACAGGATAGTGATGATTAGCACGCTCAGATTTCTGTCTGCCTTTCTGATGCAGGTGAATGAGCATGTAGCTCAGCAGAATGGCAATTACTTCAACAGGCTGCCAAAGATAACAGAGTCTATAGAAAAGCAAAAGGGCAGGTGTGGGTAGAGTGTGTGTGCGTGCTCAGGGTGTGCACACCAGAATCGTCCCCTGAAGGGCTGCTCCAGGCCAGCAGTCACTCAGCATGGACTCTGTCCTGTCCTGAGCTCCTGTGCCATGCAGGCTCTTAACTTCTCTTTTCTTTTTTTACAGGAATTTCTCTGGTAGCCCTTGTAGTTCCCATTTCATTCGGAATCTTTGTCAACCACAAATGGCCTAGTAAAGCGAAAATCATACTTAAGGTAGGATATATAAGACTAAAGCATAAGCAATAATGGACAAATTATGGAATCAGTGGGACTGCTGAAGCAGTACATTGCTATTCATAGTATTAGTATCTGACTTCATAAGACCTGGAAAGTTTTCAGCAGAAAACAAATGAGGTGCTGTGGAAATGTATTGCTTTCTGCCTGCACAAACATGCATGAGTTGCATGCATTATTAGAAACCATCATTATCTAAAGAACCTACTTTTGTCTTTGGCTGCAACTATGTTAATAATTGAGTTCAGTATATAATGTAAACTGAAATTGGAAGGGAAATCACTCAGGTCAACAGAAAGCAGTTTTTCTCTGCAAAACAATAAAAAATAAAATCATTCTGAATCAAAATGCCTTTCTCCTTTTAAGAGAGTTTCCTGATTTTTTTGTGGGCCAATTTTTGAGTGTGAAGTCAATTTTTATTAAAAAATAATATACAGAAAATATTCCAACTCTTAAAAAAACCCTAAAAAACTTATTCTCAAAATACAACTGTCTTTGCGAGATGGTTTCAGATACATCAAAAATATGGTGATTTTGACAAAAACTGTTCTCATCAAAATAATAATTCAGCCACATCTAGGGTGACAGCAAAATTAATCATTCTGAGCATTTGGTTTAGGTTTAAAGAGATTTTAAGATGCACTGAGAATTCTTGGCCTTTGCTAACCATTCTTAGTTAACAAATATCTAAGTTTTCTTAAAGAAAACTAGTCTGGTCACTTGTTTTTCTACCTATATTTTGTTATCATTTCTTTGCTATTGGCTTAGACAGCATAGAGCATAAGGTCTTTTAAAGTCAATTCATTTTCAGTAAACTGCTAGCTTATCAAGCTGCATTTTTAAATGCACTCACAGCTTACTATTTCTATTTAATCAGTTGAGGGAAAAGCATGGACTTGTACTCACATGAAAAGAAACTCTACTTGATCTCTCAGCAAAGCCGCATTTCATTCCTTCTTACTGAGTGTGTGAGCAACCCACAGAAGGGTCCATTGAGAGTTTGCTTTGTGTAGGACAATGAAGCACCAAGTGAAGATTGAGCCATAGCTGTCAGACTAAGACCTATACAGTGAGAAATTCAGTCAAGAGAACAAAGACAGTGTGCCAGGTGAAAGAAGAGCTTGTCATCACCAGACCATGTTTCTTCTTCCTAGATGCATGTGGTTAATAGCTCAGCCAAACAAAAGTACTGGTTCACTCAGTGCTCTTAAAACTGCTTCAGCCAAAGACTGATGAAGCCACTTCAATGGCAATACATGTTTTAGCTGAGGAATAGATTCTCCTAAGCTTAGACTAAGTCTGCTTCTGAGATCCCTGGCAACATAGGCTATAATGACAGACATTCCACTAGAGTATTGAAAAGAGAATGAATTATAACTTTTTTAGGCAAGCAGCAGTAAAGATTTCAGTACATTCAGCCACAGGAAATAAGAGGCAGTGCTTAGGTCTGTGTAGAAGGGCTATACAAGCTCATAACCAGTTTTCAAGAATAAATTTTTAGCCCCATTAAAGATTTACCCCAACACTTGGAAAATAATTTCCTAGCACTAGCTCACTAGCAACCTAGTGTCTAATTAGCACATACTGTACTAAGCCTCAGAGTGTGATTCACCAAGGGAGGGAGGAAAATGCAGTATTCTACCTACTAGGCTGTCAGTTTCTCAACAACTCTGGGAAAATTTTTCTAATGTGTGCACCATTCCTCACTCATATCACACCTGTGAAATTATTTTTAATCTCCAGCCCTAAGTACAATTATAGTCAAGGCTTCAAAAGACTAGTTTTACAGATATCTGCTATAGATACCTATTACAGCTGTGTCTTGATCTAGAGCTGTAGTCACACATTGAAGTACATTGTACATCTCCTGCTTGGTAAAATGGCATCTATCTAATCTCTCTGCCTGCTGTGAATTGTATTGCTGTAAACATTAGGTGTTGTGTTTAACAAGATATTTCAGTGACTCAGAGACAATCCCAGGCATGTTTGATACCATATTTGTTGCCATTAAATTTCTTTGAGAGCTCATTTGTGCAGTATTCTGTGATGCTGTGATTCTGACTCAGTCCCTCTTCTTTTGTTTCACAGGTTGGTTCCATTCTGGGAGCAGTGCTCATCGTGATCATTGCTGTGGTTGGGGGAATACTCTACAAAGGCTCCTGGGTTATCCCACCAAAATTATGGATCATTGGCACCATATTTCCAGCGGCTGGCTATACTTTAGGATTTTTGCTGGCTCGTGTAGCTGGTCTGTCTTGGCACAGGTAATCCATAGCCTTTATTTGACTGCGTAAAAAGATTTTCTTTAATGATTAATCAATGCTGAGAATGCTCCCTAAACATTAGTTATGTTACAGAGACACTCATTCACTAAGCCTGTGTTTTGTGATACTGTGTGCAGACAAAGCTTTTCTTGTGCACATTTATTTGCAGATTCTGACCATAGATGTTTTCCTTTCGTGTGCCAATGTCTTGCACTTCAAATAAGTGAAACAGACCTGACTTGTAATCGGTTTGGAACTGCAGTAAAACTTCTCATGCAGAGGCAGCAGCCTACAATTTATAATATCATTGCAAGAGAGGGAGATAGTGAGAGCCACATATGTGTCCTGAAGGTGGTTCACAGTCTTTTAGAGCTGCTGAACTGCCAACAATTGGTAGTACCAGCCATAGGTGGAATGTTTTATTGACTATGTCACCTGAAGGAAACAATTTTCTTAGTTATCCATGGCATTTTTTGCTTATCCAGATTAGTAAAAAGCATAATGACTGGATGTTATTTCACAACTGTCTTTGTATTATTCCCTTTAGATGTCGTACAGTGTCTCTGGAAACAGGCATGCAAAACACTCAGCTATGTTCAACTATAGTACAGCTCTCATTCACTCCTGAACAACTGGAACTGATGTTTACTTTCCCACTCATCTACAGCATTTTCCAGCTGACATTTGCACTACTAATTTTAGGAGGTAAAGTATAGTCATTTTCTATTATAGCACTATCGTTATCACCAGTTTAATTTTTCATGTATATGGAGAAAACAAGAAGGAATAAAAATAATCAAATGGATCTCAAAATCAAAACATAGCTTTAAAGAAACTGTCTGGAGGTGTTGAAATGTTTTAGCAGTATAAGGAAAGAAAATGTTGCATGGTTACTACAGCATCTTTTCCAGGCAATTTTTATAATTCTTTTATTTAATAATAACCATATATTGATCCTCAGGCTACCGTCTATACAAAAGATACCATGTCAAAACAAAGACAGATGTTGAAAAAACACCACCAAAAGAGGATTCAAAATCAACTGCTATAATAAATGGAGGATTTGTATCAGATGAGATGAAATAAACAACTACATCTTCTCCCACCAGCTGTGAAGATCAAGAATATATGGTTTATTTAAAACTGGTTTTTTTCATGTGCAGTTTTTTCATGGTAATATTTAACAAAAGAAGTTCTGCTGATATTGAACTGTGAGACTTTAAAATTATTAACTTAAAAAAGATCTACTTTGATTTTTAACACGGTTTTTGCCACAACTGTAGAATTTGGTTTTGAGGCTAATTTCCTAAAAATATGTAATGTTTTATTATGGATTATTTAACAAAAAGCAGAATAAAGGTAGCTATTGCTAAAAGGAAGCAGATATCTTCAATGCCAACTCCAGGCCATGGTCCTGCAAATCCATATGCTAGTCTCAGCCCCACACAAAACAAAGAGAAATCTTGTGAAAGTGTCTGAGAAGTAACAGGAGTTGATATGGAAGATCTGGTAAGGCTGAATATGAATCAAGCATGAAATTGGACCAAGCCAATAATGAAATAAAAGTTTCGCTTAGGTCAGTCTGGGCAGACTAAAGCACTGTATTAATTGTTTGAAGCAGTAATTTATTCTAAAGCTATAATTTTAGCAAGTGCACAGCACCTTATGACTATTTTTTTTCCCAAAGTAATAGAAAGTAATAGAATGCAATAGTCTTACATCTTCGGCCTGAGTCTTTTAGGTGATGGAAACAGGAACAGAGACCCGAAGATGAGGGCTTAAGCCTTGAGCAATTTTAGTGACAGCAGTGACAGCTGCATACAAAGGAGCAAGCAGAGGTTCTGGAAGGATAAGAAATTATCAGCTTCTGCACTGAAAGGAAGGCATTTGAAAATGGAACAAAAAATGTCCCTGATTCATCCAGGACTGCTTCCACCAATCTTAACATGAGACAAGAGTGCTTGGAGAGAGTAAAATATTTTTGTTATTTTATGAGCTAAATTTGAACCTACCAGATGTCTATGACATGTAGACATTGGTATAGTTGACAATTTTATGATTTTATTTATATCAACCAGGAATAGAAATAATTGGATGTACACATACATTATACATAGCTTCTGAAAATTCAAGAGTGCATATGGAAATGTCTCCTAATTGTGTGGAGAAAATGAGTACATACTGAGAAACGGTGTAGTAAACTCCTTGCAGCTGTAATTTTTTTAAGGAAACACTCAGTAACATTAGTCCTGTAGCTGTTATGTAAAGAAAATATCCAGAAAACTTCAAGTAAATGAGTGAGAGATTGGGTGACCAGAAAATTCAAGAGTGAACCAACTATCAGCACATGGAAACAATATACCTTTCTGTCATATTCAAGTGGACCTTCCAAAGTGTGGTGAGTTAATGCTGCAGGCTTTTTACAAACACAGCTGAAATTGTGGAATTTAAGTTCCCAAGGTGCAGGTTTCCACCACTGCAGAAACATGCCCAGTACTAAACAAAGAATAAATTATTGTTGTCTATCATATGTGGACCCCAAAGGGTCTCAAAATGTTCCTGAGTTCTGTGAGGTTTGCAGCTGCTTTACTTTTGGTGGGCAGATCAGAATGGTCATAACTTCCAAGGAGGAGTTCAACACTGAGTGGGAGATAGTACACAACGAGGTGTTCTGTGTTTTATAGAACAAAGATTAAACAAAAGAATATAACAAAGACTGCTATGGAGAAATCATAAATTGTGGAATAACACTTTCATCAAGAGAAGGATAAGCTTTTATTTGTAACATCTATACGAAAATGGTTATTGTCTTGCTCCTCCATCCATCAAAAACTGGACAGTGGAAGTTAGTTAGGATCATGTCTTTCTTACATATGAAGCTCTTACTCTTCTCCCATGCTTGCTGAACTTCTATGTTTCTGTGTATATTTCAAGCAGATTAGGAAAATATGTTGAAGAATAATAGTTTGTCTTGCTTATACTCTGTGTGTGTCTCTGTGTGTGTGCACGTGTATGTCTGTGTATTTAACACAACTGTATAAACATTGAACTAAATAAAGTCAGAAACTATTTATAATTTTGCCCACTGGAGTAATTTAAGGTGAAAAGAATTGGGACTGAAACCAGCTATGCAGACAGTTTGTAGCTTTGAGATGCAAACAAAACATCTCATGTTTTGTGTCAAATGGATATATTTAATAATCACAGAACCATAGAGTGGTTTGGATTGGAAGGGACCTGGAAATGTCATGTAGTCCCACCTTCTTGCAATGAGCAGGAACATCTTCAACTAAATCAGATTGCTCAGAGCCCCATCCTACCTGATCTTGAATGTTCACTTCTAGATCTCCAGCTGTAGAAGTGAAGTCTGGACAACACCAGTATCAGACCACTTGTGGGGCTGGGGTGGGCTATCTCACAGTAGTGTAAGGAACCAGTGGGGAAGATGTGTCCTCTCCCCAGAGGTGTCCAAAAAGATGTTTGGCTATAAGTAGACATATAGATGCTGGGATATGGGCTATTCAGTTGCAGGGATCTGGTGGCCTCCAACCTTGCAGTTATTGGTATTGTCAAGGGAAAACCCTGGATGGCTGAAATCAGCCTGTTTAACCTGCTCTGTGTCACCTCCTCACATTCCACAGTATGAATATCCTTTCAAAAAAAGGCAGTACCACTTAGTCACCCCTGCTTTTCAAGCAATCTTCTATGCACAGAAACAACCTGTGGATGGGACATTGCAGCTTGTGCAATTTAAAAGCATCATGCAGCGTTGTGTAGGCTAATAAAAGCCCATCCCAATTAACTCTTACACATACTGGCAAGGAATTTACCACTTCTAAGAAGTCCTACAGGTCCTAGGCTACCGCTGCTAGTTTATTTTTAGAGTCATCCATGTCCAGAGTGCCTGGGTCGTCCATGACTTTGCTACAGTGCTGGTCCTCACTGTTGCAGTCAAAATGAGATAAAGTATGTCTAAGGACAAACACCCTAAAAGTTGAAACAACAGTTGAATTAATGCCTCACTCATCCCAAGGTCTGTAGTATAAGGCCTACAGAGATGCAAAAATCACACTTGCCAAGCCAATCTGTAGCCATAAATATGGATATAAAGATGCATTCTCTGGTTAACAAAGAGAAGGAGATGCAGCATCACAGAGTTAATCATGCCCACTGTCTCAGAATTGTCTGTCTCTATAAAGTAGATTTAGATGGCCTGACTTTAATCATATATCTAAATTTTTAGTCTCGGAGAAAAAAAGAAAGTTGAAATTATTACTTCTTTTTATCATTCTTTCTTTTTCTGTATAAGGTCTCTGAGCATCCAGTTTGTCTCCTTTAACCAGGAAGATAGGCTTTGTAGTTCAGGAAATAAAAAACTAGACAATATAAAAGACTGTATGGTCTATTCTAACCTCCTATTATATAACTTCTAGTATAACTAATTTCTTAGAGAGTGTAATTTGGATAGAATTAACAAGCAAATTGATTTGCTGTTTACATTAAATGAGTTTCTTGTTTCAAACTAATCAGGTTATGATGTTCAAAATCTGCTTTTATAGTATTTGCCAGTCAGTATAATTTTTGTCAGCCACAAAAAAGAGAAATTGGCTTGTTTGCTTTTTTTTTTTTTTTTTTGGGGGGGGGGGGGTCCAACCAATTAACATACTGTACACCTGATGCAAATCTAAAAGAATAATCAATATTCTGGAGTTCCCGAGGTACAAGCCTTCACTTCTTGGTATCTGACCAGAATCCGCTCTCCACAGATTTATTGTATTGCTTCCTTATATCCAGAATTAAAGAAAATGTAGTGCAACAGTTCCAGAACCAAATAGCAACCAACCAGTTCTTTCAAGCCAGAACTGAAGGGCAGTAGAAGTAAATTTCTGTTTCTATCTCATAAGAAATATTCATTCTGCTCCAGAACATCTCAGTTAAACTGAACACTAAATTAACTTAAAATATCAAATGTAAAAATAATTTTTACTTGCCAGGATATCTGCCAATCTTCAAACTGGAATTGCAGAATATGGATAATTTAAGGTTCTGAGGGAGTGCTAATTTGTTTTCATGAATAGGTATGTGCTGTGGAATTATATCACCCTCTCCCTTTAATTTCCATTAAATTTAGCCATCTACAAGAAATTTTCCAGTTTCAACCCTCATCCTTCCCTGGAAAGAAGCAGTCAGTACTGTCAGTAGAAAAAGATAGTTATTTCTGGAAAACAAGCCATCACACTCTTCAGACATCTGATTTAGGACAGGGAGAATTCTAGAAGGAGACAAAGACATTGTGCAGAATCAAGTATGAAATTCAGTTGTCTGAACATAGGATCTAGTGCAATGTGAGATGCCCTGTGTTGTCCTGCCTAGATTTCTGCTGCCAGTCCAGGAAGTCACAAGTATTCTGTAAATCCTGTGTCCTGCCTGCACCTACCATGGCCCTACAACAATTAAAATGGCACCACATGCTTGTTTAATCAGCCTAATCCTCTTTGTGATTTCCATGCAATTCATCCTTATTTGCAGGGCTACTTGTGATATATATGAATTCTTCCACAGTCAGATGAAAGGTCAGCACTTTAAATGGCATAATCGTAAAGCCAAAAGAAGACCCTTGGGATATATTGTAAAATATTTCAGAATTTAGAAAAATAAACAACAAAAGTGTTACTTTCACCTGCCTTTAAGAGCTGACCAAAATTACATCTCCTTTAAAAATTTCTCCCAGCCTTGCAACTCTCCCTATAGAATTACATGGGACTTGGAAAGGTATAGAAATAAAATTCAGTGAGGACCTTCTAAACTATGTCTATGTAAACAAAGAGCATGCAAAAAAGTATTAGTGATATACCTACTTGCTCAAAATGGACTTAATGTAAAATGATTCAATCAATTACAGTTTCTCTTGAAAGATCGTAAATCAGCCTACTAGCATAGATAAAGTTTGATTTAGAAAAATATGAAGCTTTAGAAATATTAAATTGAAATAAAGGGAATCATCTTTTGGACTTCAATTATTTGGAGATTCAGCCATGGGAAATGAACTTTTGCCTTTCTAACCACCAGCTGAGAAATCTTTTGCAAATACGGCATATACTTTAAAATTCCAAAGAAATGGAAGGGAAAGCTCAACACTGAATAAATCTCTTGTTGACCACAACAGGGAGTGGAGCAGCTCCGTCAAGTGGTTCACTTCCTGGTTACTACATATCCCAGATATTGTTATGAAAAGTTTTCTGTTCCAGGCAAACAGAATCCAGTTAATTCTTAGAGCATACAAGGATCATGCACAGTTTCTCATTCACTGCTATTGTTCCTAGCTATGAGAAATTGTAGCAATTACACGCTGGTGTTTCTACTCACACAAATTTAACATTGCTTCATATCTTATAGATGTGACACAATTGCTCCAGATATACTGATTAGCTCTGCTGATCAGGTATCATTAAGGTAATTTGATACATTCTTTTAAATATGACTGCAGACCTTCTGTCTCCTTCTACTGCAATGAGTTCAAGTATTACTCATTTGGGAGACTTCATCACAGTTTTTAAATGCGTTTTCCCCCATCTGAATTCAAGCTAGAAGCAAGGAGGTCATATTGAGATGGTAAGGCCCTGATTAAATAATTTGATGGTACAATTAATTCCCCACAAGTGGAATTAACTGCAGGGGATTAA